GCACCGTAGCAGTAGTCGTCTTAAGTTTTATGGAGTTGAGTGGATGTTTAATTATAATCAAAAGATTATCTCTTATTGTCATCTTCTCAGTGTACTTAATATATGATTAACTCACCACCATCTAGCATCACTTGTGGCACCCTAGCTGCACTTGTGTGTTACTTTCACTTCGCGAGTCTGGTTCGAAGTCAAAAAATGAGTTATCTCGATCAGCAGCAACTTCATTTTCACAATGTTTCATATTTTTGGATACTTCTCTTGCTGTTTTATGTTTGAAAAGTGTTTTAATTGTTTTTTGTTCCTGTGGTGTAATGCAAGTAAACCATTTGTTCTTGAACCTTGGATAGGATAGTGTGGCAATTATAGCGTGTTGACCTTTAGGCGTAAGCAGTTTGAAGAACTCGTCAAATCTTCTTTCGACACTTTGTCTGTACACTACTGCTAACTCATGACAGTACTTCAGCGGAGTGCTCTCAAGCTTTTGCAGTTTCTTGCGTAAAGCCATCAAAAATGGTATAAAAAGCCCATAATACGTGGCTGCGTTGCCTTGCAATATATCTAAGGCCTCGGCTATTGGAGAAGAACATGTAATATATTCGTTTATATGAGTGGCTCAGTGCCATCCTTGCCTAACCCTCGAAATTTCATATTTGGAGTTATTATGCTATACTACTTAGAAATACTCCAAACTATCCGTGCCAAAGTTGCACATCCCTAATTTTTGAACGAGACAAGGCTGACATCTATGGGCAGTTTTGGCAATCTCAATATGTCAAAAGTTATTTGGGCCATTTCTGCCTAACCATCAAAACATGGCGGCCGCGAGCGACATGCTGTTTTCGTTATCCGACTTTTCAGGTGACGATAGTGATAAAGACAAAGACTACTTACCTTCAGATGAGGTCTCAGGTATGTCCCCACCTCTCTATAAATAAATATTATTATTCTCATTCTTTAAATATTCTTTTTTCGCATATAAAAAAGATTGTGAGGGTTAGGCATTTCTGGCCTTTCCTAAATGGTGAACTGTTAAAATTAATTGCATAAGAACAGTTAACAGCATTTATTCTTGTTATTGCGAGAAAAGAATTTTTGATAAAATTGTATTATAGTTTCATTTATTCTTAACCAAGTTCATGGCTTACAAAATATTTTATGTGTTTAAGTTAGGTTATGTTCCATTGTTTTGCGTGATAGGCATGTGTTGCTTTAACAACATTTGTTTCATTGCGTTACTTTGCATGATATTATTATTATTAGGCGTACAATTGTTAGGTGAAAGCCGATCGGGAGAGAATGACGAGCAGCTCGTGGAGAATAATAAAGGGCGAAAGAGAGTCAGGCAGCCTCACAAACATAAAAAATATATTAGAAAACTAAAGCGTGCACGTGGTGAAGAATATCTATCTACAAAAGGACGACTCATTCCACAAAAACGGTGTGACTTATCAGAATGTGGATGTGTACTTCACTGTTCTCAACAGATTTCTGAAGACCGAAGAAGAGATATTTTTAAGGGATTTTACAGTATGGATGGACCCATGAAACACTCTTTCCTTGCAGGTCAAATTGAGGTTACAGATATTAAAAGAAAATATACCAAAAATGAAAACAGTCGTAGGGTTAAAACAAGAATCTACAGGCTTTGAGATGAACAAGGGGAAGACAAAATTGTTTGCAAAAAAATTCTTTAAAGGGACACTGGCTGTATGCGACGGAACCATTACAAATGCATTAAAGAGAAAGCAGCAATCTGGTACGCCGAGAGGTGACTTAAGAGGAAAACATACTCCACATAATAAAACTAGCTTGGCAGATGAACAAAGGGTTTGCGATTTTATACAACAATTTGCATCGTACGATAGTCATTATTGCAGGCGAGATAGTAACAGAAAATATTTAAATCCAGACCTAAACATGAAAATGATGTATGATATGTATTTGTATTATTATTATTATTATTAAAAATTGGTCCATTGACAATAAGCACCATACAGTTTCCTTATTTATTTTCCGACACATTTTTAATACAAAATTTAACCTGCATTTTCACCAACCGCAGAAAGACACTTGTCAAACATGCGACGAATTCAAGCTAAAAATAAATACTTTGCACACAGAAGCTGAAAAGCAGACTTCCAAAGTGCAACATGACATTCATTTACGACAAGTAGATGTCATCCGGGATATGAAAAAACGAGATGCCGTTGCAGCCAGATCTAGCAATAATACAAAGCAAGTAATCGTTTTCGACCTACAAAAGACATTACCTACTCCAGTTTTGACTACCGGAGTTGTATACTACAAACGTCAACTCTGGGTGTATAACCTATGCATACATGATGAAGTAAATAATGTTGGACACATGCACGTTTGGGATGAACATATTGCATCAAGAGGCGCACAAGAAATCGCATCCTGTCTTTTGTACCACATAAAAAACTGCTTACCGTCAACTACAGAAGAAATCACTCTTTATAGTGACAGTTGCGGGGGCCAAAACCGAAATATTAAAGTGGTTTTGGCTCTTTCTTATGTTCTACAACATTCGAAAATTGAAAAAATTGACATGAAATTTTTTGTACCGGGGCACAGTTTTTCAACATGCGACCAAGATTTTGGAATAATAGAAAGGGAGAAAAAGCACCATCCCCATATTTTCCATCCCGATGATTGGTTAAATGTAATTAATTCCGCTAAGAAAAAAAGTCCTAAATTCAATGTTCATCAGATGACGAAAGATTTGTTTTTTAGTACAAAAACTTTGGAAGAATCTATTACACATAGGAAGATTTCAACTAAAAAAGAGAAGGTCGAATGGCTTAAAATTAAATGGATTCAGTTGCGAAAAGGAGAGCCAAAGAAAATGTTTTATAAGTACAATTATGTTGAAAATGATTTACTTTTCAGTACACTAGACCTGACAAAAAAATCTGGTAGGGGTCGCCCTTCGCTTTATTTTCCATCTCAATTACCGGCCCTGTTTCCAAATGGACGCGCTATAACTAAAGAGAAGAAAAAGGATTTGATAGATCTTTTGAAATTTGTGCCTCCAGAGCATCACGACTTTTACCAATCACTTAATGTAGGGGTTGTTGAGCAAAATGAAGAATCAGAAATTGAAGAAAATGACGAATAGCAATTTTTCTCATCACTTCAAGGATGCCTAACCATCACGTCCTATTTGCTTAGTAAGCGCCAAAAGTGCCTATACGTTTGTACCAAAGTCATGATGAGACAATAAAATATTTATTTTCTTAAGTTAATTTGTAGTATTCAAGGAATGTATTTTCAGTTTAATTAAATGTTTCAAACCTTCCTAAAAAGGCTGTTTAATTTTTAATTACCTATTAACTTTGTCACTAATTATTAGGAAATGACTAAATTGAGGCTTAGGCAAGGATGGCACTGAGCCACTCATATATTCATATTCGCCGCCGCTGATGTAATTTGTGAGGCACAAAGCTCTTTGCAAATGAATGTTTTTGTCTTTGACAGAGTAAATTTACTTCATTGCGTCATTTAAGCTATTCCATCTTGTAACGCCAGGTTTGCTAAGTGTATGTCCTAAAACACTTTGAATGATCTCTGCTGTTTTGGGACGTCCAGCAGAATTCCACAAGACGTTACATTTTCCTATGGCATTATGATTCATTGCACATAGAGGTGTATTATTGCCTGTTTTAAGGATTCGATTAGCATCTGTGGTAGCACACAAATTCAGCGTATGTGCAGCAAGCCTAAAATGACACGCTAATGGTAAATCATGTGAACCAATTACTTCATCATCTTCTTCTTTGGAAACATCCTCTTCTAAATTTCTCAGTTCCAAGTTTGGAGTTGATACACCAAACTCTGTGAATGCTTTGATGAAGTTACTACCATTATCAGTCACTGTGGCGACTATCTTCGCGGGATTCACATTGAAATCAGCCTGAATTTCGTCCAGTATCATCGCAATACGTTTATAATTATGAATTCCAGGAAACCTTCTGCAAGCTAGTGTCTTGCATTGGCGGTCGAGATCCGCATCAAACCAATGAGCAGTTACTCCAAGGAAACTTCTTTTTCGACTTGACCATATATCAACAACAGTACAAATGTATTGCACGGATTATAATGTCAATTTGATCTCTGAAATTTGTTGCGCATATTCAGCCTCAATTCCTTTGCTCAGTTATCTTCGGCTGATGACATTTAACGCATGGCTTGGCAAACCCAAATTATTTAACATGGCTATAAAAAAGGGTCCTCTACTACATTCAGGGGAATCATTGAATTGATGAAGAAATGCACCAAATCCTGTTCAAAGTTTGTTTGGGAAATCATGATTGACTTTGAAGTTGTCGCTTCCAGCTTCCGTACGGTGTCTTTTTTGACTCACCTGTTTTGCATAATCGTGATATTCTTCAACGGCTTCTTGGCCATGTTTTGCCTTTAAATGGCTCAAAAAGTTTTACGACGAATTTGGGGATCCTTTAGTGTTTACAACATCAGGCTCACACTTCACACATGCCATCAAAATGCTTTTGCCATTGGAAGATGAAGAGACAAATTTAAAAAATATGCTATCCAGCAATTTTCATTCCCCGACACATTTACCACATTTTCGCTAGAACCCGGAAAATTGTTGGAGCTAATTTGATTTGACTGAGAATTATCACTGTCCGTAGCCTCTACCTCTGACTCCATAACTTCGTTAAAAGGATCACTCATTTGTAAAATACAAAACACCGCAATATATGTATATATACCAGTAATTTTACTAACCGCTCCAGTAAACAGAATTCAACTAACTGACAAATAATGACAATAGAAACAAAAGTAAATCGTTGCTCAATGTGTTGAAAATTAATTTTTATTCATTATTTAAAATAACGAATAAAATAACGAATAAATTATTCGCAAGCAATTTATTCGTGAATGAGTTATCTGCGAATAATTATATTACGGATAAAATTGTATTCGAATAATTATCTAAATAACAATTTATTCGAATAATGCCCAACTCTGGTTATGACAGTATTGTAGTAAATGAACGGACATGTACATACATATATATGTAAGCTACCGGCCAAACCCGATCTTAGGATAAACTATTTTTGTAACTCTCATCAGTCCAACTCAAGCTACGCAATCCATATGATTGTTGTATCCAATTTGGTTTCGGTTGGACAGATATATCGCATTAGGTAGAACTAGTTTAGCCTGGGCAAAACTAGTTTGACATAAGATCGGATTTTACCGGTAACATATCCATACATACATAGGCACATGTAACTTACCCAGTCTTTATTTGACCTACCACAAAAAATGCTAATGAAAACAATTTTCCAGCAAAATTGTGTAGATAGAGGATTTTGCTCTTGTAACAAAATGTTATTGCAGATAGTGGGTTTTTCAAAATGAGAATATAATACCATTAAAGCAAAATTATAAGTTTGACATTATTGTCGTGGCTGAAAGATAAATAAGAGCTAAGGTTACCATCAAAAACTAATTTTCATCAAAATTGCAGATAAAGGGTATTGAATATAAGCCCTGGATATATACACTCACAAATAAAATCTTTATCATTACAGCTCGTTTGGATAGAAACACCAACAAATCCGATGATGAAGGTTGCTGACATTGAAGCAATTAGCAAGCAATGTCAAAAGAGGAATGCCATTCTTACGGTGGACAATACGTTCTTAACGCCATATTTTCAAAAGCCTTTAGAGCTAGGTGCTGATTTGGTATGTTATTCTTTAACGAAATATATGAACGGCCATTCTGATGTCGTTATGGGAGGAGTAATTACAAATTCTGATGATTTATATAATCAATTGAAATTTTTGCAAAATGGTACGTAATTTATAGGTTAAAACATTGCCAGGTATATTAATTTTTTTTTTCCAGCAACGGGAATCGTACCATCTCCCTTTGATTGCTATCAGGTGAATCGTGGTTTAAAAACGCTCTCTTTACGCATGGAAAAACATCAAAGAAGTGCAATTGCTGTAGCAAAGTTTTTGGAAACACATCCTTTTGTTGAAAAAGTTATGCATCCGGGATTGCCATCTCATCCGCAGCATGAACTCTCTCTTAAGCAAACTTATGGATACAGCGGAGTATTCTCGTTTTACCTTAGAGGCAATTTAATGCATTCTAAAGCTTTCCTTCAAAATTTAAAAATATTCGCGTTAGCTGAAAGTCTAGGCGGTTATGAAAGCCTGGCAGAACTCCCGTAAGTATTTAAATTCTCCTAATTCCTTAGCCTAATTTAATTTTCGTGTATTTAACTTAGAATTAAAAACAAGCAATTATTAAACAACCGACTCATACAAAAATTCAGGAGTACCGTTAGTTTATTTATGATCCATTGATCGGAACTAAACGAAATTGGCGTGGGATCACTTGAGGTGCCACCTTTCAGATAAAAAAATAATTATCGAAAACGGTTCAATAAAATACAATTTTTGGATACTATTCTACTATGGTATTTAAACTGTTTGTTTATGCAGTTTTGCGAAACATTTTAACCACATACTTTGCATATTTTGAATATTCAATATAACGATGAATAAGCCTTCGTAAGTTTCCATTTTCACAACACCAATCGCAACCAAAATCAAACTTTTTAGAAAAGTATACAGTGTTAACTATTTGTAGTTCGGCAAAATGGAATATTATACTTTGTACGTATGCAATGCAATTGACGTTTTGGAAGTCAGCTATACATAAAAAAATATTCCGACAAATTGATAACCTCTTTTTTTTTTAAGTCTGTTAAAAAGAATGCTTCAATGAAAATTATGAACGTGCGTAAAATCGATTAAATAACCAAATAATAATAATAATAATATAATAATAGATTGGCGCTTACACATATGTTAGTGTTTGGCCGAGCTTGTCCTCCGATTTGTGGCGTGCGCCTTGATGTTGTCACACAAAAGCGGAGGGACCTACAATTTTACGCCGACTCCGAACGGCGATTGTATTTTTATGAGAAGCTGTTTTTCATGGCAGAAATACAGTCGGAGGTTTGCCATTGCCTGCCGAGGGACGACCGCTGTTAAGAAAAAACCTTTTTTCTATATTTTGGCGATGTTGCTTTGACCAGGGTTTGAACCCAGGTGCTGCGGAGTGGAAGGGCGCACTGCTTACCACTACACCATAGTGGCCGATAACCAAAACCAAATTGGCTTAAGGAAATTTCTTATAAGCGCATTACTTCTTGCCCAATTCGCAATGCACTAAGTTTCGAATGAAATTCATTCTTCACTATGTTTGTCCCACTCGCTAATGTGTTAATTACGGTAGAGTGCAATGACGCCCACGGGCGCAGTTTCCTCTTTTTTAGGAAATAATGCAAATTTCAAAAAGAAATTAGCACATGAACAATATAAACGTATACTGTAAATGTTGGTTGTTGTCGTAGCGGTACCCGTTCGGGTCGCGGAAGTGTGCAACTTCCACCGGGTCTGCCCACAGCGACAAGGGCGTTAGCTAGGTGGGGTTTTGGGGGCATGCGAAGAAGTGCCGTGTGTCGTGTGGCCACTCTCCGCATGCCGGGCACATCCTTGTTTATTCTGCTCAGGTATGAGTTCAGCCTGCTGCAATAGCCAGAGCGAAGTGGTGCGGGTCTCCCGAGGTAGACAAAGTTCTGTCCCGCCCACGTCAGGTGGTCGTGTGTCCAGAACGGCATTCGCAGGTCGAGAGTCTACATAACTTGAGACCGACTCCCTGTGAATGTCGTTCAGGGCCTGTCTGTATGCGGTTAGGTCCAGCGGTTCTTTAGTGAACCTCTGGACTTCGTCCGTCAGTTCGGTTATGTGCGCCGAGAAGGAGAGCAGATTGTCGAAGGTGACTCCGAGGATTTTAGGGTTATTCACCATCGGTATTGTTTCGCCACCGACGTTAATACCAAGTTGCAGTCTGACCTCCATTGTCCAGGTGGTGAATAAAGTTGCCGAGGTTTTCCTAGGGGAGAGGGTTAGGCTCCGTGCAGTGAAGAAGCGAGAAAGCTCGGCGAGATAATCGTTTGCTTTCGAGCACAAGTCATCATCGCGCCATAATCGAGCCATCGTCAGCATAAGGGACAATAGTGACTCGCTGCAGTGGTTGAGGGAGCTTTGGAATATAATAAATAAACAATAGCAGGGATAGGACACCACCCTGTGGGCCCCCTGTTTAATTTTTCTCGGTTTGCTTGTTTTGTCCCTAAATATTACTGACGAATGTCGACGACTCAGATAATTCGCCGACCACCGTTTTAGTCCCTGTGGGAAAAGGAGGCCGCAATGCCTTCCAGTAGCGTGGAGTGACTAACGGTGCCAAAAGCGTTTGACAGGTTCAGCTACTAGAATAATTCTCTCACAGGGGCGGTTGCGGTTTAGGCCACGTGTTATCTGAGTGTTTATGGGGTTAAGGGCTGTTGTTGTGCTGTGCACTTTACGGAAACCATGCTGATGCTTCGCTGGGGTCAGGTGGTTCGCAAAATACGGGAGTAGCAAGGCCTCTAGTGTTTTCGCTACTGGCTACTGGGTTAAGCAGTGGGAATGATGAGAGTGGCCACAGACCGGTTGAGGACCTTGGTTAAATAGTCCACTCCCGCAGAACCCAAATTCTTCAGCATTAACATACAAATTCCATCGGGTCCTATGGCTTTGGAAGCTTTCGCCTTCCCGATGGCTACCCTTACCTCACCGTTATTGAAAACAAAAGGCGCAATTGGTGTTGGCAGTTTGTGCAGCGAATGCGAATGTTAGGAATAACATTAAAAAATGTATAATCTACGTAAGTAATCGTTTTTATTACTTAAAAATTTTGTATAATATTAGGACATTGAACGAGTGCTTAACCGTGGAAACACAATGCCGGCGAACGGCGAACTCACCACAACGAAATGTCCGCAGTCAAAATTAGAACACACGCCGGCATATGAAATTGAACACAACCAAAGCGAAATGCAAAGTTTGCTCGACGTTTCGTGGCGATAGATTTATTTCCATCGCTCTGCTGGGCGATGGCGGTCGTATGTTTTTTTGCTTTCAAAGATTTAGAAGAAAACAACATATAACACGAATTACTTTTGTTGGTTAAAAATATAGTCATCGATTCGTTGAATCTGGGTTAAAATAAAATAATTTATAATAATTCTTGCCTTATATTTATATTTGTTATCATTTCATCATTTCTAGATATGGTTTCGTTTTTAAATATGGTCTACTAAATTATAAGTGCGACGAAATGGTATCAGTTGTTTTCACTATCGTTATAATTCTGTTAAAGTAGGCGAAATAGCAGGGCGAATGGTGAACGATGGCATTGCCCAATTTGGCGAACTTCGCCGTACAGCATGTATTGTGTTTCAAGCATAACCTATACAGTGTTTTAATCTAGTAGTCAAAGTTCAAAAGGGGCATATTATACTTAAAAAAAAAGTAAATTCGCTGCTTTTTCTCCCATGAGGTGATTTCTTAGAGGCTCGTATATAAGGCCGGCTGCACTGCACAATTGCTCACTTGGAACGCTGGTGGGTGGAGCGCTCAAATATTTGCGGGCCAGGTCTGTCAATTTGTCAATTTTAGTTTAGTTTTCTACCAGTCGAGAGGATTTTCACCAAGATGAGCTCGTTTTTCTTTAAGATAGGCCTTCAATTGAGCTTTAATTTCACTTTTTTTAATGTCTCCAGATTCCACATCCGAGTCTTCGCTTATTATTTCTAGGTTGCATATAAGACTTTTAGCAGCACTTGTTGGAGGACCATCAATGTTGCTTGATATACATACTACTTAACCGTTTAGCGCCTGAAGCTAAAAGCCGGTTATTTTCCGCACCCTGGTTAGACAAACTTTGAGCCATTTCAACAATATTTGAGTGGACTCTGCCCTTGTACACATTCGCATTCGCAAAACATTCGTATCATTTGATCATAATGTATCATAACGAATGCGAATGCAAATATTCGCAACATCCCTGGTACGTTCACTTGTTGCCGAATCTCCTCGTTGAGATGCCTGGTACCTGGATTTCCGGGATCATCCTAACGAAGGTTGTCACGCTCATCGGCTAGGACAGTCGCTTCAGCAAGAAAATTCGGACGGGGATCCGAAATACATCCTGCTGGGATGAAGCGGGCTGCAGCAGCAGTGACAACCCTGCGGAATTTACGCTCACCTGCATGAAGGTCGGTTGGTGTGGGTAGGGCAATGAAGGTGCTTTCAGTAACATCCGTATAGCCTTGCCAGTCAGCTTTGGAGAAGTTGACAGTTGTAAGGTCTGGCGAGCTGCAGCAGCTGCCCATAATCCTGGTGGGTGCGTCCTCGTTTGTTGTGCAGAATGTCGAATCGTCTAACTGCTCAGCCAAATGTGTTCCCCTACGATCATTCGACAGGCTTGAATGTCAAAGGTCGTCGTGCGCGTTAAAGTCGCCAACTACTATACGGTTTTTACCTCTGAGGACCGCACCTATTTCAGGCAGGATGCCGGGCAGCTGGTGACAGGGGGTATAGGGTAGATGGTAACCAGTGTCGCTTTTAAGAATTATTTTAAACAATTTATTTTTGTATTAAATACTAATGACCAGTCTTACCTAAAATCTAATTACTCTGTATGTTTATCTGCAAATGCACTTTCCAATCTTCTTCTTCTTACTTGGTGCTGTAACCGCCTAAGCGGGTTTGGCCGAGTTCAGCAAAGCACGCCAGTCGTTTCTCTTCTGTGCCCACTGACGCCAAAGGAAACGCCAAGTGAAGCCAAGTCCTTCTCCACCTGATCTTTCCATCGCAGTGGGGCCTCCCTCTTCCTCTGCAACCACCAGCGGGTTCCGAGTTGAATACTTTCAGAGCTGGAGCGTCGGAGTCCATTCGAACGACGTGCCTAAGCCAGCGGAGCCGCTATATTTTAATTCGCTGCACTATGTACATGTGGTTGTAAAGCTCATACAGCTCGTAATTCCATCTTTCTCTGGAATACTCCAAGAGCCGCTTAATCGGATGTTGTCGTTGTCCATGCTTCTGCGCCATATACCAGCACGGGCATGATGAGTGACTAATAGAGTGTGGTTTTCTTACGTCGATAGAGGACTTTACCCCTGAATTGCCTACGCGGTCCAAAGTATCGGTGTTTATGCTGGTTCCCAAGTAAAAAAAAATCTCTACTTTCTCGAAATAATAACTGTCAACAGTGACGTGGGTGCCAAGGCGCGAATGTGCTGACTGTTTGTTTGATGACAGGAGACAC